TTTTTTCCAAAGCTTTTGTGAGCATTAGGCTAGAGCTGGTGCACGCGCTGCATGGCTTCCATTGTGGTGGTCAAGGGCACTACGTAGACATGTTTGCTACCTTTGGTGTGCATTTTTCGCCACCGATATTCATTTAAAAGGCATTTCCACCTTTGGCGGTTGCTGTGTGAAGGCAAGCGGCCACCTTCACGCTTGCGAATCCATCTTTTTACAAGTGACCAACGGTTTTCAATGTGATTCGTAGTGAATCCATTGGAATTGGTGATTTCTCCTGCGCTATGGTTCACGATTTCATGCCACAAATCTGCATTAGTCCACCCCTTTTCTTTTCTTAGATCTTTGATAGCCGCTATCGTTGCCTTCCATCCATCGGTCACAATGATGGTCTTGGGTTGCAGGTTGAGAAGGCGAAGGCAATCAAGAATCTCAGCCTGACCTCGAGGCTTGCCATCCATAGCATCTTGTGGGTGATCCAAGACACAAAATATGAAACGTTCTGGCCTGCCGGGAACGGTAGCACCCCACACCCAAACCTGATCAGTTTCTGCGCGGCAACTTTTTGTCAGAGCACCGCTTCGCAACTTGTTCAAATGAGACTCATCAACTTCAACCACATACTTGTACTTCTTGTAGAAAGACATAGCATCTGGAGTCTTCTTCTGTGAGTGCGGCTTAAACCTTTTATTTCCAGCAGGTCGTTTGCAGGCACCAGAGGGCTTCTTCATGACAGTACTGGAGCTGGCTGAAGGTCTTTTGATGGTGGCAGAGTGCTTCTTCATGACAGTTTTCTTAATTTCCCGAACATGATTCGCTGACTTCAGGGGTGTCGAAGTGAGACTGAAAGAAGTTGCATAGTGCCAAAGGTCTGCATTCACTGCTTGATGAAAGACTTCTTCCCATTGGTTGAGCTGCTGGTGCCAGACACCTGCTTCTCTGGTAATGATCCAAGATGGGTAGTCAAAGCTCCACATGCACAGGCAATCAAAGAAATTCAAGAAATTCTTCGCCTTGATGCCTTGAAGAACAGTTCCTGATGTCAAAGACTGTGAGGTGCGGGCGCAATCATCACAAGCTCGACTGTGGGAGG